CTGATAGATAGTGAGCAGGATTTGATTGCTCTCATGTGTCAGTTGTGATAGAAATTCACAGACAATGGACCTGCCTTTTTTTTAAAAAAAAGATTATTTTCAGGAAGTAGAAAGTGCTTGAGTTATGGGCCTTGCTGAGAGCTGGGCAGGTGTCTTTTCTCATCTGGTTATTCCTAAGGGATAAGCCCAGTCAGGACAAAGACAAACCCACACCCCATTTACAGCAGTGGGAGTGAGTAAGGGATCTAATTGATGTTTATTTCATTAAATTCCATGCATGTGGTTGTCCTAAAGAGATTAGTCAACCAGCCACCAGTCTTCATGCAAACATAGTTATGGTTATTTAATTGTCAGTCCTGTCCCACTTCAGCAAAGGGAATCTCTGCTGATAGCTGCCAGTCATTGGCGCCTACTGTGTGCAACCCCCTGACTCCCCCCCACCCCATAGGACTTGACATACGTTTTCTCGTTTGAAGGTCCCAACACTCCCTAAGGTAGACCCAATGTGCTGTGATTATCTTGGATATACAATTGATGGAACTGAGGCCTATTAAATAGTTGAACTAAGTAACTACTAACTGTTAAATAACTTGCCCAGGACCACAGAGCTAACATGTGAGAGAGGGGATCCAGGATTTACACTCAGATCTATTTGAGTTTCTGCCCTAAATCCCCAAATGGTTGATAAACATTTAGTGAACATTTTTGCTTTTCATCCCATTTCTTTTTCATCTAACTCTGAATCTGTCTCTGCCCCTAAAAGAGGCAGATTACAACAAACTCTGAGTTCTCTTAAAAGCTGTCTTTCCATTTTCTGAGAACTAGCAATTTGTTATGGTTGTTGATGTTGTTTTTGTTTTTAAAAAATTTCCACCTAAGTCAAATTTAGGAAAACAATTTTGCATCTAATGCTCAGTAACTCTGGTTTTAGATTTGGAGGGGGAGGCAAGAGAAAATAATTGCATCAGAAAAACAGAGCAAATATATGAAAGTTGGAATTTCCCCTTGTTTAATTTGATTCCCCCACCCTGATCTATATGTATTATTTCTCCTTCCTATCCACCATCTCAAACTTCCATGTGACCTGCTTTTTGCTCTAAGGTAAATACGCAGATCTTTACTCAATTACAGTTAATCATGTTTCTGTTTTTATCATTTTTATTTATTTGTATGTTTTTGTTATATTCCACTTTTCTATAGATAAATCTCTATTCCCAGGACTTTGCAAGTGGTGCTGCTTAATAAACTCCTGGATCTGGAATAAATAGGAGGAACACAAATTACAAGACCTCCTAATGGTTTTGCCCATTTAGAGCACCAGAAATTCGACTGAAACAGTTCAGTTCACGCTGATCTTTTTGACCTCCTTTAGTTTTTTCAAAAGATGCAAATTTTTAAAGGAAATTAGAGGAATCTAGAGGTAGCTTTATCATATCTCTGTTGGGGTGTTTTATATGATGTCAGGTTCCTTCATCCCCACACTTTAGCTGGTAATGGTTTCTCATCTCTTATAAAAACCCATTTTTTAACCTATAATTTTAAGAAAATCCTAGAAATGCAGTCCTGGGAGACCTAATTCAATTAAAGCCATACAAGTACAGAAGGAAGTTAATTCTAATGTATGTTACTTGCTACAATTGGAATCTTGATTCTTTCATCATTCATCTTTTCTCCAGCCTCTTTTACTTTCTCTGTCTATATTGTGCTGAAATAAATAACTTGCTTCTAAGAATTAAAAAAAAAACAAAAAAACCCAGCACCAATTAATTCCACTTGTTTCTTGAGCAGATCTGGAAGGGGTGTGTATATGTGTGTGCAATTATTTATATAGACTTTAGGTTTAGGCCAAATTCTGCACCAATGAAGCAAGTTTATGAATGAAAGAGCCTCACACAAATTAATTTAATTCAGAATTATCTCTGGAATTGCAGTCTCCCTATTGGAACCTCATGGACTACTCAGCATCCTTTTGGTTTTGGTCAAATATTTTTAGATTTTGTCTAAATCCATTTTTGATTTATCACTTTATCAAAGACAAGAACATTTGTGCCTTTTAAAAAAGCACCAGTTTCTCTAGAAAAACAACAACAACAAATGGTTAATTAGCTTGAGCATTACTGGCTGCTGAGCTATCATCAAAGAGAGCATTCGACCAAATAATTTTCCTGCAAGTTACATCACTCTATATACATATCATTTCTTTCAAAGATAACTTTTTAGTTATATAAATATCCCAATGCCCTTCCTCTTGGAAACTTTCCGTACTTTCTTGCCCCCAGGGGATATTTTATGTTTGAGGTTAAATCTTGAGGAAATGGAGATTTTATTGAAAATATTGACAGAATTTAATCCACAACAGAAGGGAGTGAATGAGGGCAGAACAAATAGCACTTCTTTCATATGTAAAACTTAAAGTGCAAAGTGAATGATTTTCTAAAAGATCTTGTCAGATAGTCCCAGGAATTGACATACAAAAAATTTCAGCAATTGCAATAAATTTAAGAGATGTATAGGAAGAGAGAGTTAAGGAGGGGAAAAGACAATATTACATCTAAAAGTCTCATCTTTTCCTATGGAAAATTTCCACTACAACTACTAGTTGAGCAAAGGATTTGTCTTTTAGGTGCTGCTGTAAGTTTTCTACTTTCTGAGGCTTGCATTTGTAAAGCCACAAAGGGCAGCATTTGGTCAGAAAATGACTGTGTCCTGGAAGACAAGTCCAAGTTATAGGCATCGGTTGGGCTAAGCTCCTGACGCACACCCAGATGGCACAATTCCTGCATCTAGTGTGAGCCCCTGGGTTTGGGACTCGCAGAGAAAATCCGTGCTGCTCAATGTTGAAGTCAACCAGAGAGTTACAAAGAGAGCTTCTCTGAAAGACCAGTTCAGTTATTTATTAGCACTCTCAGAGTCTGGTGTCAGGCAAGATAGTATTTGAAATTAATACACTATTTGATTAGACTGATTGATTGTTTCTACAGCTGAAGATTTTAACATTCATTAGCCATACTAACCGGTCATTAGTACTTCCTTTATCAGCAAGCAAAGAATAAACAGAAATCCTAATAAAAATTCATCACAGTGAATGTACTCCATACCCAAGTGAGTATGATGACTGCCAGTGTTCTAGATTAACTGCTGTAACATTGGCAGCATGAAAGATTTCTGTCATAAAATTTAAAAATATCCCTTAATTAATGTTTACTTTGTAACTGGACTCTTAAACTTTAGTAGGCTATACAGATAATCTCTTACATATCCAGTATAATAAAGTGCTAATGGGTATTTTACCCTTAATGAGGTTGTGTGGTATCCTTTAACTACTAGTTCCAGGAAGGACTGAGGGCTTCTTGGGAAAGTTTTGTGAATATGTTGCTGGTGAAGCCTTTTCCCCACTACTGAGGAATAAAAGCATCATGGCCTGTTTTTCAACCAGGCTGTTAAAATAATTCTGAATTGTAATGCAAATATGCTGACCTATTCATATTGTGTGATATCTCTCTCTACCTACCATGTCATGAATCCCTTATGGTTTTTAGGACAAATTGAAAGAAATGATAAGAAGGAGAGAAGGTAGGCAGAGAGAACCCTTTATGAATCGACTCAAGGCCTTGAGAATTATAGCTACCTTATATTGACTGCCTCCTCAGCCCTTCACAAGCATTAGCTTATTAGTATTCAGAATTATCTCAAAAGATTGCTAGTGCTAGCCCCCTTCACAAGTGATGCAAAGAGATCAGTACTCAGAAAAGTTAAGCAACTTGCCCAAAGCCCCGCAGCTGGTAGGCAGCAAAATCAGCATTTCAACCACTTTGCATAGTTCTAGAGCCATGCTTATCTGCCTGACTACCCTGCATAAACATAAGCTGAGCTGCAGAGTTTTATTTGAGTTTCTGTCTGTAGATGAGCCTGTCAGGGCCTGCATATCTCTATCACCTCTCTTGGCTCTAGCATGAATCAGGACAGCTGGGCAGCAAGTTGAGGATGGTGAGGGAATCTGGACAGAGTCCAGGAACCCATTCAACCACTGTGTCCCAGAATAATGTGTCAAGCTCTACCTAAACCAAGTTAAAACCAGGATGTCCAAGGAAAGATCAAGGATCCCAAGTATGCAGAGTGCAGTGTAAGAGAAGCTGGGCTGAGTCAAACTTGAGAGTCAGGAAAGTCTTCAGATAGTTGTTATTCTAGGGCTGGAGGTGGGCTGGAGGGAAGGGTTCCTGCTTATAATAAATAGGGAAAGGACTGACAAGAGTGAGGCAAGTTAACAAGATCAAAGTAGAATCTCTGTCATAGGGAGAGACTGGGGAAGTGAGAGAGAGACTAAGAGAACCGGGGCCTAAGACTCAGGGTCCAGTAAGATGTAGGTGAGGAAACCAGTCAAGTGTTGTTTATCTTGGGTCTACTGGGGAGAGGGCCAAATTCCAAAAGGGAAGGCAGAAGAAAAGATAGACAAGCAAGGGTCTCTGACCATGAATGGCTCTGCAGGTGGCTATAAGTCTATTCTACTTGCCCAAGGCAAAGGCTGTGTCAAGTGGAAAGCCCAGGCATAGAAGAGTCTATGGGGGTCTGCCATTTATGGCTGCAGATGGTATTCCACTGTGGACTGCAGAACTAAGAGTATCAGAGTCAATGTGCCTTAAAGATGTCACAGGCTCTTTTTACCTTCGTTTACCTGACAGTTTTATCTTCACCCAATCCCAGGTTAAAAATGTAGAAGAATCAATAGGAAATCGTTAATTCCAAAAATTACAACTTGACTGTAATAATCTTACATTTTAATCTACATTATTGCCTTCAGTGACAAATTACTATTGATAGAAAAACCCATTTCAATAACTTTGGATGCTATTCCAGAGAAGAATAGAGCTGATAATTATGCTATCTTTCAAATCCATGCTTGGGGGCAAATTTCTTTCCTGACTCTTCCAAGAGATTTTGAATGGACGAAATGTTCATGCTCCTATTCCCTAATTCTTTTTTTTCCCCTTCCTCCTACACAGGAGACTTTGAATGTGATTGATCCTGGCTTGATGGATCTAAATGGGACGAGTGAGGATGCCCTGGAATGGGATGAAACTGACATAAGTAACAAGTTAATTAGTTTGAATGAAGACTCAAATGACCTTGATCAAGAACCCCAACCTGTCATGCCTTCCTTAAAGCTTGAAGAGATAGGTAGGGAGGACCCCGGTTATGAAGAAGAGGCAGGTGACCATGCGGGATCTCAGTATGCCTCGAGTATCACTGTCCCCTCCAGTCCACACATTTACCAAGTCTACAGCCTCCACAATGTTGAACTGTTTGAGGACAACCACATGCCATTTCTGAAAAACCATCCAAAGTTCACCAGCGTGACACAGCCTAGTGTTTTAACGAAGAGTCTCAGTAAAGACTCTTCGTTTTCATCCACCAAATCTTTGCCGGACCTTGTAGGAGGTTCCAATTTGGTAAAGCCTTGCCCATGCCATAGAGGTGACATGAGCCAGAATTCAGGCAGTGAGAGTGGAATCATGAGTGAAGGAGACACTGAAACCACTACCAACTCTGAAATGTGCTTGCTCAATGCGGTAGATGGGTCCCCAAGTAACCCTGAAACTGAACATCTGGACCCACAAATGGGAGATGCCGTTAACGCATTAAAGCAAAAATTTAAAGATGAGGAGGAACGCATTAAGCTTCCAAATAGCTCTCAGTCATCCATTTCACCAGTGGGTTGTGTAAATGGAAAAGTTGGAGATTTAAACAGTGTTACCAAATATACCCCTGATTGTTTGGGAGAAGAATTACAAGGAAAACATGATGTGTTTACGTTTTATGATTATTCTTACCTCCAAGGCTCAAAACTCAAATTACCAATGATAATGAAACAGTCACAAAGTGAAAAAGCACATGTGGAGGATCCCCTGTTTCATGGTTTTTATTTTGATAAAAAGTCCTGCAAATCTAAACATCAGGCTACAGAGTTACAACCAGATGCACCTCCCCATGAAAGGCTTTTGGCAAGTGCATCCCATGAAATGGATCGAAATTCATATAAAAATAGTGATGTAGAGAAGACATTCACTGGCATGCAGAATGGCAGACAGCTCTCCCTGTTATCCCACAGTTCATCTATCGAGTCCCTTTCTCCAGGGGGTGATTTATTTGGATTGGGCATCCTTAAAAATGGTGGTGACAGCCTCCAGCGAAGCACTTCCTTAGAAAGTTGGTTGACATCCTATAAAAGCAATGAGGATCTTTTTAGCTGTCACAGCTCTGGGGACATAAGTGTGAGCAGTGGCTCAGTTGGTGAACTGAGTAAAAGGACACTAGATCTCCTGAATCGTTTGGAGAATATCCAGAGCCCTTCGGAGCAAAAGATAAAGCGGAGTGTTTCTGATATGACTCTCCAAAGCAGTTCCCAAAAGATGTCCTTTACTGGCCAGCTATCATTGGACATAGCATCTTCTATCAATGAAGACTCGCCAGCGTCTCTTACAGAACTTAGCAGCAGTGATGAGCTCTCTCTTTGCTCAGAGGATATTGTATTACACAAGAACAAGATCCCAGAATCAAATGCATCATTCAGGAAGCGCCTGACTCGGTCGGTGGCTGATGAAAGCGACGTCAATGTCAGCATGATTGTTAATGTCTCTTGCACCTCTGCTTGCACTGATGATGAAGATGACAGTGACCTCCTTTCTAGCTCTACCCTCACCTTGACAGAAGAAGAGCTATGCATCAAAGATGAGGATGACGACTCCAGTATTGCAACAGATGATGAAATTTATGAAGAATGCAGCTTGATGTCAGGGCTGGACTATATAAAGAATGAACTGCAGACATGGATCAGACCAAAGTTTTCCTTGACAAAAGATAAGAGAAGGTGCAATCTCAGTGATGAAATAAAGGGCAGTAAGGATGTAAGTAGTAGTGAGATGACCAATCCCTCTGATACCCTGAACATTGAAGCTCTACTAAACAGCTCCATAAAATGTCTTTCTGAAAGTAATGGAAATGGTAAGAGTTTATCCCACACCCATGAGTTAGGGATGAAGGGTGAGAATAAGAAAAATATTTTCAAAGTTAATAAAGACCCATATGTGGCTGACATGGAAAATGGCAATATTGAAAGCACTCCAGAAAGGCAGAAAGACAAACAGAATGGGATTTTGAAGGAACCAGAAAATCTTGGTACAACAGGGAAGAAGAATTCAGACAGTGAGCATTGTAAGCGTAAAGTATTTACGGATAGCTCAGATGATGCAAATATTGCTGGAAATGAATTTGTTCCCCAGACTGTTAGACATCGTCCAAAGAAATGTCAAAGCCACCACCATTTTGAAAATTCAACAACTGCTTCTACTGCCACTGAGAAGTCTTGCCCAGAGCTGCCTTCAGAAACCAGAGTTATCAACAGACAGGATTCTGATATACTGAAATCTTCATCTAATGATGCACCAAGTGTGGTTGGAAAATCCGCTCGTTGCTGCCTAGCACTTGAACAAAATGAAATAGAGGAGAATGTTTCTGTCAGTGACAACATTTCCTGTTGTGACTGTGAGCCAGATGTTTTCATTCAAAAAGATGCTGAGGATTGTTCCGTACACGACTTTGTTAAGGAAATCATCGACATGGCTTCAACGGCCCTAAAAAGTAAGTCTCAACCTGAAAATGAGGCAGCTGCTCCTGCCTCGTTAAGTCAGATCAAGGAGAAGGTGTTGGAACATTCTCACCGGCCCATCCAGCTGAGAAAAGGGGACTTTTATTCCTACTTATCTCTCTCCTCTCATGACAGTGATTGTGGCGAGGTCACCAGTTACGTGGAAGAAAAGAGCAACACTCCATTGCCACTGGACATTACCGACTCTGGCTTAGAAGACAAGGAGGACCCTGAATGCTTCTTTGAGGCCTGTGTTGAGGACGACCCGGAGGGAGACGAGCCCTGTCTCTCTGGCCCTCCTCCAAATGAACCTGCTGTTTCTGGCGAGGCTGCTGTGCCCCAACAAGCAGCAGCAGGCTCCCCTAAGTCCAGCGATACTTCTCTCTTAGCTGAGGAGGCACACATGGTGGCTCTTGCGAGTCCTCCCCATCAGGAAGAATCTGACGTCAGCAAGGAAGCGGATGGTTTACCCCAAGCTGCAGTCTGTGGGGAAAGGTCAGAGCTAACTACTTCAAGGCTGGGCAGTGAAAACACAGGTGAATCAGGAATGCCAGAGGAACGTAACACTGCTTCAGCCAAATCTGGAGTTCCAGAACTCTCCTGGAAGGCAAAGCAGCCAAAAGACAAGGCTGCATTGCTTCCCAACCCCAAAACTTTAACCTGTGAAGAAAATCTTCTAAATCTTCATGAAGAACAACATAAAAATATGCATAGGTAGAATGCAACCCTCTCCACGCATGAAAATCATCTCATTGAAAGGTATGTATGCTCCTCAGGTTTTAATATATATTCTTAATATATTTTTAACATGAATTTCATATATATCCATATGTACTTCAATGATGAGTTTGAGTCAGCAGTGCCACGATAGGGGAGAAGACTAGTCAGAATGACTGGTCACGGCAGACATTTATCTGAATAAGACATTTAGGTGGAAGAAACATTCCCAGCAACGCAAGTAACTGTGAGGCAAAAGGGAGAGAGACCGGCACCAGTGACATTTTTAGTGCCAGTATCCTTATTACATCATTCTGGCAAGAAGGATACAAAATTTGAGGAAGTAGCCGAATAATTTAGGACCTCACATTCTTCCAGTGAGGGAGGAAAAAAGGTTCTCCCAATTGCAATTATACCCTCTGATCAAAATGCACGCATAGTGACAATGCGCCCCACTTCAGTTTCCTGCACACAGAGCTGCCCGCTCCCTCCAGTGCCTGGAAATGAACAATGATAGGCTAAAGCTGCATCTCCTGATCTGGGCCTTCCTTTTATGCTTCTGTCTAATGTAACTATCATCACATTTGCTTCCCCAGTGGAAGGCTGTGCTGTCACAGCTCCTAATCATGGCCAAGGCTGAGGGTTCAAACAGGAGGGGAAAGTTGATGTTAAAGAAGAGGCTCTTATTTATCCACACACAGACCGAGAAGAGGCCCAGAAAGCAAATGCAGAGAGAATACATGACAAGTTAATGGCGTTTTGATAAAAACAGAATTTTTGAATTTTGCCTGAAGGTGACAGGCTGATTTCCATCAAAATTTTTAAGGAAGTCATTCCACTCTTCATATTTAATAAGACAGCTATTGATTGATAATTGAGATGATGATATAGCTTGAAAAGTGACACAAAAATTCTGTTATTTTCCGTTTCTAAGCCCCAGTGATGAATATACTTTCTCAATCAAATCTAAAGAAGAAAATTTGAGCTTTTGAATGTGAGAGTTGTATTTCACCCAAGTGTGAGGTGCCGAATGCCATCTCCACCCCCCACTCCAGAAGCTTAATGCCGTAACCTAAACTCGTGCTATAGGAAATGAATTACAGAAGCAATCTACCCTAATTTGTTAACTTATTCAAATAACAGTTATTATACTTAACTATGCTAAAGATTATCTTTTTTGTGGCAGATTGTTTATTTTTTGATGAGCCTAATTACTGATTTTCTAAAAGTAATTTACATTTATTACAAATACATCTTTTAAAATGTGACAGATAAATGTTGTTCCCATAATGTATTATGAAAAAAGTTACTATTTAAAAACACATTATTTAATTTGAAAGATGAATGGCAAACATCATTATTTTTTTTCCTGCAACACCTGTGCCCTAAGCTCATTAAAATGTGTGATTCTGTGTAGAGCTGCTAGAAATGGGGAGGGGGGGAAATATATACCATATATATACCCTAAAAATAAACTCAGTATGCAAAATTGAAGAAAGACATCATACTTACTAATATAGCTCAACTAATTTTCTATGTTTCAGACTCAATTTACAATTGGCCGCAAGTGAGAACAAAAGTAGGAGAGAGAGAAATGTATTTTCTGTGAAATATGTCCACCCTATAATCACATTCTCCATCAGCATGCAGTAGAGCTGACCATTAAGGGAGAGGAACTGCAATTCCATAAGCTGCTTCTAAACAAGTTCTATTAGTACCGATTATACTGCTGGCTCATCCAAGCTCCGCAGAAGGGCTGGTGGAGGCTGGCTGATTTTTGTTTTCTGCAAGGGGATAAAGGCTTGAAAGCAACACCCCTCGGAGCATGATATTGTGTGACTGGGACCCTCAAGTCAGCGGTCATGCTGAGGGCCGGAGCTCCAGAGGCGCTGGCACGGATGAAGCCCCTGGGTCCCGCACCCTTCCCTTTTAGATACTCTGGGAGTTTCTTCTGTCCATGACATAGCTAGAGAATCGAAATGTAAACGATAAGCAGCTCCATCTTTGGACTTGGGCAAGTGAACATGCTGTGCTGGTGGATCGGCGCAAGCCCTCACATTTCACAGGCACGACAACGCAAAACTATCAGCTAGCCCAGCTGCCAGTCAGCAGTATTTTGTTGAGCCCCCGAGAGGTGGTTCCTGGCCCTATCTCAGGCAATGGGAGATGCAGCCAGATTTTACTTCCGCAGAACTCACATCGCCCCCAAGTGACTTGTGATCAGCCAAGGGCCATTTAAATAGCCATATTCACTGGTCCTATTCAGTTTTTTCTGTATCACGCACACCAAATATCTGGATGCCTAAATTTTTCACCCGTCGTTAGCACTGGGTACCTGGGCATAGATATTTACATTTTGTTAAAATACTACCAACCAGGATAAGTTATTTAATCTCAAAAGTTGACATGCCTTTGGTGTTAAATATCAGGAATACATAGTAAAGTTATTTGGTAAATATGAGACTTTGTGTCTATAAAAGCTTAACTGTTGTCATTGTTCTTCCTACAAGATTCAAAAGAGGGGGGAAAAAAGCTCTACTTTTTATTTTTTTAAAGCTTTTATTTATTTATTCATGAAAGAGAGAGAGAGAGAGAGAGGCAGAGGCAGAGGGAAAAGCAGAGACTTCTCAAGTCCCGATGCGGGACTTGATCCCAGGACCCTCAGATCATGACCTGAGCCAAATGCAAACATTGAACTGACTGAGCCACCCAGGCACCCAAAAGCTCTACTTTTTAAAGCAATTTCAAAACTATCAGTTGGGGTGCTCTATCAGAATAATAAAATACACTGCATTCAGTTTGCTGGGCTTTTTTTTTTTTTTTTCCAGAAATAAGTTCTCAGATGATGAAGTTATGTCATCTGGAAGAGCTACAACTTGGAACACCAGCTACAGTCTGCAACCATACCAAGAATTTTTTCCAAAAAAGTTTTGAGGTTTTTCATTTACTGTTCTAATTAAAAACCCACTGAAACTGTTGAAGTTTTAAACATGGTCTGACGCAGGATGCATTTGCACTGATTTCTAGGCACACTGCTGTGCTTTTCACTATTTTCATTTATGTGCCATGTTTCTACCAAAATAGAGAGGTCAGTTATAGCAAATCACATCAAAGGAAAGGTAACTGGATAGACCCAGATATTTCTGCTTAATTTGGAGGAAGCACATAATGTATGTCTGGAGTGCCTCCTAGGACCTGCCTAAGAGATGTACTTTGCACTAATCTTTTTGCTGTATTCTGACAGTTATTTCTTCATAATCCTCATCATAAGCCTCTGATCTTTGGTGAATGATTTAACCGTAAACTTCAGGCTGGATAAATCCTATGGTATAAAAATTTAACTCATCACATGCAGCCAGTGTGTACTTTTTTTTTTCCTTTTTGGTTTACTCTGGTTTTCAGTTTTGTTTTACTGTGTATGGGGTGTGTGTGTGTGTGTGTGTGTGTGTGTGTGTGTGTGTGTGTTGGAGGGGCTGTATTTACTTAGGATGCATATGTGTCCTTCAGAACTTTTAAGCTCCATTGCTTTTCCTGTTTTATTGGTCTGCAAATGTGATTGTTGGTATCTCATAGATTTTAGATTTTCAGCAATTACTTGTATTTTTGCATGCTTAAGTATACGCATACACAGTAAAATTGCTCCTACTCAGTCACTACAAACTGAGAAAACTTTAAGAGCAAACATTTCTCATGTATACAACATAAATTCTTATTCTGTTTTAGTTGGATTGACACAAAATGTTTAATATGATCCAAAGCTGGCCAAGCAGGTTTAAGAAACTACTCTTGGTGATAGTGTATTAATTTTTCACTAATCAATGCAAGGGTAATCTTATCACATTTACCTTTAAAGTCACTTTAGTAAGTCAAGGTTCTGGTGGATGTGAAATGTTTTTTAATTTTCCAGCACTTCTAAATAACTAGCTCTGCCATGCTAAATGACAAAGATTTTATTGGTCATCACCCATCGCGTGCGCGCGCGCGCACACACACACACACACACACACACACACCCCAGATCTGTGCTTCAGTCAGTTTTGCCTGCCCCTTTCCAAGTGGGCCAAGTTGAAAGAATTGATTAGCCAGAGAGAATTTAAATACTGGCATTTAGTAAGACCAGCTTTGCCTCATCTAAGGATTCCTTACTCAGTGTCCATGTTTCAAGTGAGTCAAGTCCTCATTTGAACAATGCACCATGCTCGTTTTTGAGTTACTGCAGTATTTGAGTGTACCAAATTTTGTTCCATCTCTTCCTGTCTATCTCTCCCTGTTCTTGAGAACCTGCCTTCTCTCCCCAACTTCCTCTGACTTCAGCCAAACCACATTTGCTGAAGCTTTTCTGGCTTGTAAACAGGTTACAAGATTATAGAGAAAGAGAAAGATGGAGAATGAGATTATTTAGTTCTAGAAAGACAATAAAGCAACCTGACATCAGACATCAGAACTCGGGTTTAAACCCTGACAAGCAAACGCCTGCTTTATTTGAGAGCTGGTCAGAAGACCTAAAGTAATTGCATCCTGTACTGCCTGTCCCTGGAATTTAGCTGTTCTTCACATCCAACTTGTTGTTTTCAACCCCTTAGAAATAGGCAGAACTGACTGAGTTTGGAACAAATTTGTATCTGAGCCATCAAGATGTACAGAAATAATTGAGTCATTCTTATTTGCACAGGACGTCTAGGCCTTAAATGAAATGCATTCATATTCAAGCTAGAAGCCCAGGTTATATCCTTTCACTGGCAAGGGGCTGAAACATTTGGAATTACAACAAAGCTATGCATATTTCACCGCTATATAATAGTGGAATTGTTCAGTTCCACTGTCACACACACAGTCCCTGAGGGAAAGGTTAAACCACCTGAGGGTCCAGGTTCTCAGGCTGTGAATCACTGGGGCCACCTGGCTGTGTTGCTTGGCACCAACCGCCTCACATTTTCATAGTGATTTGAAGCTATCCTGAGTGTTCAAAACTGAGTTCACAAGCAAAAGAGTAGATGATATCCAGATAAAAGGTCAAACTTGATGATTTTTTTTGTTTTCTTTAAAACCATGTCTTTTTTTTTTTTTTAAAATGTATTTTTCAATTGACTCTGAAACATTTTTGTCAGTAATATGAACCTTGGGCTATTAAAATCACTATGTTTTATGTATCCTTTTATTTCAGCATATCAGCAGGTAGTTCCAAAATGGCAGGCTTCCTCAAAGGGCTCAGTTCTACAAATGAAACAGACATTTCTGATACCTTTTCCTATCCCTTTTTTGTTTCTTGTAGATAAGCCTGGCTGTAACTCAGGGCTGGCTTCCTAATCCCACCCTGGGCTAGTCTGTGGTTTCATCACATCACTGCCATTTGTTGCATTGACCTCTCCCAAGATGAATCTTCCCTCCGAATGCGATTTGTCCACATGAGCCTTGTGATCTGGATTGTGCACTGGTTTTCTTTAGGTGATTGTCTTTGAAGTTTGGCAAAGCTGCTCGTTTTCCCACGGATTCCTGTCCCAAGCTACCTCTACCAACCCCGCCTCTCCAGCGAGACTTTTCCGTTTGCCTCCTCCCTCCCCATCTACTCTTTAAAGTTCTGCAGTCCACCAAATCGATGGTCCATTACATTCACCTGTCTGGAATGACCCCCTGCCGGTACTTGACCAAGTTCATGTTTCAATCTGGATTTTTTTTTTTTTATGGTATGATGACTATGTTTATTGAAAGAGGTTTACCTAAAAGGCCAACATTTGTTCTGATTGCAGCATACAGAAGAAACACTGGTCCTTCTTTCAAAATTAAGCAACTTTTAAAAGCGCCATTTTATTTATTTTATTTTAAAAATAATTATCTATGCAGCACTTCAAGAAACAACTATATGGTGTTGTATATTATAAACTGGTGACATTCTACTGTTAAATTATGTACAACATTTTTGTTTTTTATGCTTCTTGAGGTGGTAATGAGAAAAAAGTTTTTTAAAAATGTGTGCCTTGCTGTATTTCTTATACCATTTATTAAAAAGCTGCTTTCACGGTAAAATTATGTTGGTTTGAAAGGAGGAAATAGCAAGGTTAAGATGTGTGAATAATTTCTGTATATATGTATAACCAAGTACAAACATTGATGTATAATGACAGTATAAAATGCTTTCATGTTTATGATGTCTAGTGATGTGGAAAATATAAGCCTTAAACCATTAGATTGCATGGTAATTAAAATTGGCATAATAAACATAGTTTATTGGGGGAAAAGGAAAATCAGTGATCTCTTCTACCTGTGTTCTTTACCAAATTATTACATCTGATTCTGGAAAAACTGTAACACGTAGTAGCTTCCAAAATATCGATATTGCATAAGAAGCTTAAAATTACTTAAACTACACGTGCTTTTCAAAATCTTTCTGATCACTATAAAGATCTTGGAACACAAATGATTAAATGCCAATTCCCCTAAGCCAATAAGAACCTATCCTAGATTTTTTATTTCTACTTCTCATTAATGGTTTAATATTGGACTTTAGGCTACCTAGTCAGTCTCATATTTATTTTATGTAATTCTTTTGAATGGGTTTGCTAGAAAGATGATAGTAAAGTCTAGAAAATTTGACTATTTTGACTTAGACTATAGATTTCAGGTGTATTTATTTTGTGTTAAAAGAAATTAGCTGAGAAATATTCCATCTGGTCTTTATTGCTCTTCTTAAATGCAGTTTTTAATTTATATCCTAACACCTACTAAAGTGCCTGATACACAGTAGGTATTCAATAAAAATTTACTGAATTTAAGTATTGAATTAGGCAGTATGGGTGCCATGTACCTTTTCATTTTGAGAGACATACACTAAAACATAAACAACTAGGAAAATAGGTAATGCAATCATTCATTCACCTAATAGTTAACTAACACATTTTATCTGCAAGGACTATTCTAGACGTGGGAGATGCATAGACGGACAAAGGCCCTGCCCTCAGGAGGCTTACCGACAACACGGATGTGGTGAACACACAAATGAGATACAGTGTCCTGCAGGCAAAGAAGAGAGCAAAGTGGTAAAAGAGGCACAAAGACAGAAGTAGCAAAGAGGGATAAGGCAGAACAGAAGGGCTCGAAGGGAACAGAAAGTTAGACAATAGAAAATGAGTGAAGTTTTATTGCAGGGATAGTGGGCAAAGGTAAACTGGGAGACTGAATGAGGAGTCTTTTTTAAAAAGTTAAGTTGGAGCTTTTGTATGTAATACGGCAGGTAGTAAGGAAAGTCTTTTGCACCTGATTTTATTTATCATTAGAACATTAGTACAACACCAAGAACGTTTAAAAAATACTAGCCTATAATTTTACCATTCTAATAACTATTTGTATTGTTATGTGTCTTCTAATCTTTTCCGTACATATTTCTAAACTGATTAATCATTCTAGGCTTTTGAATAGGTAGTAATAGTTCAAAAGAAGTTCTAGGCAGACATCTAGGAGTGATGGTCAAGATGGTTACGGGGGAAGAGATTAGAGATAAATGGCTCATTAGGAGGCAGCTGTAGAAAATTAGCTGGGCTTGAAATGAGAGAGGACACAGGGATAGTGGCCCGAGATGTAGAGAAAGAACGAATCTTAGAGTCTTTGAAACACCTAAGAGCATTTGGGATCTCTGTTAAGGTATGGTAGTATTTTACATATTGAGACAACCTCAGTTTTCCTTGGGTAATGCCAAGGTCTACATCTACTGGAACAAACTGACCATGACGTTCCATTTACCTGTTATATGCTCACTGAAGACCTTGAGGTATTACAAATATTTGTTTATTAATGACCTACTTAATATTAACACTGAATTTGTAAAATGACTTATATTGAACAGTACTTTTTCTGGTTGGAAGGGATGGGATAGCTTTAATCTCTTGCTGTGTGTGGGCACCACCTCCCCAGTCATCTTTGAAAATGGTCACACCAACTCTGCCTACACCTTCCACTGAGTGATTCATTATTTGTTAAGGCAAGCTGTCCCATGGTTGGGTGTGTGTCTTTGTCAGAAGGTTCTTTCTTTGGTTGCTAAAAACTACATAATGCTCCCTTCCCACTGCTTTTAATTTTGCTCCCAGTTCTGGTTCTGTCCTGATGAGCTGCTCAGAGTATTTTTACCCCTTCTTTCTCATGGCACCCTTGAAGATAACTGAGGCCAGTTACTCGTCTTCTCCCAGCTGCTGTGATTTCTGTTCTTCATTCCCTCAACTGCCCTTCACTTGTCATGATTTTCAGATCCATTTCAACCTGAGTGAATGTTAGCAGACAGAATCCTTGAAATTGAGGAACTGTCTTTATCATCATACGTGTAGAAAAATATCTGAATATTTAAATGGTTTTCTCTAAAAATATATTCAAGATATATGTTTATTCTATTATTGTAAATTTCAATAAATAAATAAATAAATAATCCATCATGTCCTTTAGTGGCCCAGTCTAGTGCCGGAGTCATCTTGAATCTTTTCCTTATATCACATCCAAACCTAACCTGTTTCTATATAAAGCAGGGTCCCCCCCCATTTATTTATGCATTTATTCAGTCATTCAACAAATATTCATTGAGTGGCTACTTGTGTGAGGCACTGTGTTTGGCATGAGAGATACAAAGGCAACTAGAACATAGTTTCTGCCTACAAAGGGTTTACAGTTTTTCTTGTGAAAGTGCCTTTCATGTCCTTGAATAGAGTGATCTCTCCAAATTAAGTGATGACCCATTTGTTTTCCATCTAGTTTCTCTACATTTTCAAAAACCTAATGAGCAAAAATAGTATGCAGAATTATCTGGGTCTGACTACTAGAAGTGAAATGTTTTTTGTATCTGAAAATTTTAATTACAGAAAAAAATTTCAGATTTCTGGTCACTGAATAAATATGCATCTTACACAACAACAAAACAATCTAAATTCAGGGCTTTTGAGAATCTGAGTTTGATGATTTTGTTGTGTTCGGCTCATCCAATTTAGGTTTTACCCATGCTAAAATTCCTGGGAACAAATTAGATGTAACTATCAAAACACACTGAAATAATCCAGCTATTTCTTAGGAGTCAAATTATTTTAATCTCCAAATGAGTTTAGTATTATTTTAGAATTTTGATGAATACCTGATTTTTCAAGCGTTGTATAATTCTTATATTTCAAATTTTTTTACTTGAACCAACTAAATTTACAACTTCTTTCTATACATTTTTCAATTTTTATTTTGAATAATTTCAGACCTATATAAAAGCTGAATGAATAGTACAATATTTGCATACTCATCACTCAGATTTGTATATTGTTAATATTTTACCCCATTAGTTTCATCTCGCTCTCTATACACACACACACACACACACACTTTTGTGTTGAACCATTTGAAATTAAATTTCAGATCCTAACACTTCATCTAAATGCTTCAGCCTACATCACCTAAGAACAAAAGTATTATTCTACAAGTCTACAGTACACCCAAAGAATGTAACATTGATACAATATCTGATAATCTATATCAAATCTATATTCAGATTTCTCCAAATGCCCTAATAATGTCCATTTGCAGTTGTGTTTGTTTTAATTCCAGATCCAAACAAAAATCATGCATTGCTTTTAGTTTTTGTGTCTTTTTAATTTTGAACAGTTTCCCTATGCTCTTATTCTTTCTTTCTTTGGTCTTTCATAACTGACGTTTCTGGAAAGTCCAGGCCAGTTTTATAGAATGACCCACAATCTGGATGTGTCTAGTTGTTGTTTTCATTATTCAACTCAGGGTAAACATTTTTGTCAAGTGTAGTGCACAGGTGTTGTGTTCAATAGCTACTCTTTAATGAAGAATGAATGAATCACTGACCTTCTCGATGTGTCTTGAAATTCACAAGTTATTCTTACAGTGCATGCTTTAGTAGTTGAAGGCAGGTGTCAACAAACTACAGTTTGGACTAAATCTGGCACACTGCCTTTTCTTGTTTGGCCTATGAGCTAAGAATGGTTTTTGCATTTTTAAATGATGGAAAAAAAAAAACAGAAGAGTATTTCATGACGTGTGAAAATTATTTGAAATTCAAATTTTGGTGTCCATGAATAAAGTTTTATTGGAACATAGCCACACACATTTGTTTACATATTGTCTATGGCTGCTTTTGCACTGTAAACTGCAGAGTTAAGTAGTTGAGGCAGGGACCATGTGGCATACAAAGCCTAAAATACTTACAAAAATATTTTTGGTCCACTACGGAAAAAACCTTCCTATTTCTGGTCTACAGTGTTCTAAATTCTGACACCATTTTGTTAGAGGTTGATGGACTCCCATTTGCAAAATCAATGTAACATATTAGCACCTGCGATCGTTATTTTTTGCTTTCTAGATTTTGTTGAGTTCTCAATTTTAGTTTCATATTACCTTTAGTAAAATGAAGTATGCCTTGTTTCATACACTTAAAGATTTTTCCACATCCACCGCCAGTTTAAGGACTTAAATTTAGTTCACTTATTACAGCCTGACTTTGATTGATTTAGAGGGTTAGTCAATTACAGACTAAGTCATTAGTTGAATCAGAACCATCAGGAAAATTGACATAACCTAAACTCACTTCAATTCACTGATAAACTGGAATCCTTTCTCTAAATGTTTTTCTAAAGCATTTTTAAATCCAGGCCATTTCAAAGAGTCCAGTTTTTTTTTCAAATTTATTTTTCATCCCAAAGGTAAAAACCATGGTCATTGATTGTGTAAGGTACACTTTCATTTCCCACATGCTGGTCATAATTAATGATCTGAATTTGTCAAGGAAATAAGTATTCACCACAGACCTTGCTGTGGCCACAGGTGGGCATTCTTATTGAATGGAAGATGTTTAAAAGGTAACCATCCTTAGTACTTTTTTCCCTTAATTCACCATCGAGAGCTCTGCCACCTCCCACTGCCACATGCTTATGGAGGGGACACTCAAGGAAGTTTTTTTAGCCACTTCCTCTTCCTTAAAAAGCAACCACATACTTTTCATATAGCAATGGCCCCTAAACATGAGACTTGCTATGTAGTTGCATTTTCAGAGTAAAATAACACAAAGATGTGTGCAAGTCAGGCCCACATTATTATTATTATTTTAAAGATTTTATTTACTTGACAGAGACACAGGGAGAGAGGGAACACAAGCAGGGGGAGTGGGAGAGGGAGAAGCAGGCTTCCCACTGAGCAGGGAGCCCGAAGTGGGGCTCGATTCCAGGACCCTGGGACCATGACTTGAGCCTAAAGCAGTTGCTTAACGACTGAGCCACCCAGGCACCCCATCAGGCCCAAATTATTATGGTTTCTTGTAGCAAAGACATTTTGGCCAATGCCTTGAGACCATTCTGTTCCTTGATTGATGGGCCCTCACCAAAGCAGAAACATGCAAAGATTATTTGTACTTGTGTTTTAAAGTAAAACAGGGCCTACATAAAGCAACTTTTCTCCTTCTCTTTTCTTTTGTAACACACACAAGTTGGAAGATACATGTGTGAGACCCTTCCAGGCTTTTACCAAGGATTCATAATTTCCAGTGAGGAAAGACCCCTCCCCGCAACACTTCTCTCCCACTCATAAAGGGGATCGTAATGCAGCTGAATGGAGTGACATTACTCTATGCATAACTTTGGAGCAAACCTAATTTGTACTTTAAAAAATTATTTTTTTAAAGATTTTTATTTTATTTATTTGAGAGAGAGAGTGCGAGAGCATAAGCTGGGAGAGGGAGAAGCAGGCTGATTAGCAGGGAGCCTGATGTGGGGCTCAAACCCAGGACCCTGGGATCATGACCTGAGTCGAAGGCAGATGCTTAATGGACTAAGCCACCCAGACACCCTAAAAATTATTTTTAAATATTGGTACCTTATTATTGGTTATAAATCCCTTATGACATCATGTTTAAGAATTACTGAGGCTTGTGCTCTCTTGGTTGAAAAGAAGTGCCCTAAAACCTGGGAAAGGATTTCCAAAGAAAAGAGAATCGACACCCCTGTGCATGGATGTACAGCCTTGGATGCTCCACAATGATGAAGAACTGAAGCTTTCTGGTGAGTCCGCTCTTTAAAAAACTGAATTTAAGGGAAGCAAATGTAAAATGCAACAAAATTTGGCCTCACATTTACATTGGAGAAATGGCCGATACTATTGAGTTAGCCCCGATAACTTCACCCCTGGTTAACTACAGAAGCATCAGATATGGAACATCAATGTCTCCCAGATGTACACAAAACCTTTTGTGTCTCTACCATGGAAGCCGCCATATTCGTCAACTTTATTAGACTGTGACATTACTCTCTCTCCCTTCTACATTCATTTTATGTGGAAATTTGAAAAAAGATTACCGATGTGTAATTTGGTGTTTTTTCCACACCATCAAGACGTACAATAATAGATTTTGTCAATTTAATAAAAATTAATAAACACATGATTTAATAAGAAACACTAAAATTATTAAAATATTTCTTTGTCCTTACACTTATCCTGCCATTAAAAACCCATCCTAGCTCCCTGTAAACAAATGCACCATTACGGGCATAAAACAAACATTATTCAGCAAAATTTATTCAAGGACTAAAATGACAGAAGGTATTAGGAACATAAAAACACAAAAGATCCTCTCTAAATCCCAATATTCCCCAACAACTGGTTTATAAAAAATACACTAAGGTTTATAGAATTAGTCTTGTTCTATTAGTTGATCAAGTTACTTACACTGTCAGCAATTCAAAACAAGTAATTCCCTCTGTGTGTGTGTTTGCTTGCTTGCAAATATGTTTCATTTATTTTAAAGTGTCTTTTTATATAGAAATCCAAGTTGCTGAAAATTTATCTTGTCATTAAAGTGGTGTGAAAATCAAATCAGTCTTCATATAGGTTCTCTTATCCCTGCTGATCTCAAATGACTAATGATGCTTATGGCAAGGTTTTGTAAAATGAAAGCTCCTTAACTTTTCAGGAAACAGTTCTTTTTTTACATGTACACCCGTTTTGGCTCTCTCCTAAACACTTCTAGAACTTTCTAAGTTCAGGATCACTCTCTCACCAGTAATGTCTTTCCTTGCAGACTGTATGTAGAAACATTTTTTAGAAAGTAAAATTACTAATTATTTAAAGACTAAGAGGCATTTTCAATAGGAATGAAATAATTTTCAATAGGTATATTTTTTAAAAAGAAAAAACAGATTCTAATTGATTTGGAATGATTGTAAACCAGAATATTCTTGTTAACCGAAGGGTCTGCTTATTTAAGTCACCTGTGACTTACTGGCAACTCAAACTATTTTTTTTTTAAAGATTTTATTTATTTGACAGAGAGAGAGGCTGTGAGAGAGGGAACACAAGCAGGGGGAGTGGGAGAGGGAGAAGCAGGCTTCCCGCGGAGCAGGGAGCCTGACACAGGGCTTGACCCCAGGACCCTGGGATCATGACCCGAGCTGAAGGCAGACGCTTAACGACTGAGCCACCCAGGTGCCCCCAACTCAAACATTTTTAAACAAAATTTAATCTTTGATGATTTGGCATCACCATAGCGATTTTACCAATTACTGCTTGGTATAGTAAATGAGTAAGTTACAGGAACTCTGGCTAGGTCAGTAAGCATACTCTGGATATTATTTTTTAAATCAATCTAAATAATAATAAAATAACTCATTATCACCCAGGTGCTTACTATGTACAGGCCAGTGCTAATTGGTGATACCCATTTTACAATAAGGAAACTGAGGAGGAAGAGAGCTAGGCTAGTTATTCTTGGCTTCCTTTTCGTAAGAGCAGAGTGTGGAGGGAAAAAAGCTGTTTCAGAAACTTGTTTTCCATCTAGATAAATAAGAAGTTATTTTACAGAGTTCACTTAACATTCACACACACGTTGCTAAATTTCCTGTCTTTATTACTTATTAAACATATAATTCATGCCAAAACTGAAGAAAAGACTTTCACTTTAAAAAAAAATTCTTATAAAAATTCTATAGGAAGAAATGATAGCTAAATTAGCACTTGAAAAAGGCCAAAGAAAATTATATATTGTATATAATTATGCCTCATTATGACCTCTGTACATTTTCCAGAAAAGTTAGGCATTAAAAACACACACAACAGGAACACCTTAAAGGTCAGAGCCTGATGAAAGAAAAGTGCAATAGTTAATCATGAAGGACGAGATTAATGTTCTGGTAGACACATACATTTTTATCATTACATTTTGCTTAATAAATACTTTAAAAGATGCAATTTCCCTTCCATGTATTTTGTTCATATCTGAGAGAGGTGGTAGAGAGAGACAATTCTATAAAATAAAACTTAAATTTTAATTTAATGAAATGAAAATGTGGGATTTGCTGATTCCTAGCATTCTTTATGTGATTTTTCTTCCCATGGGTCTTTTTTGCCCAAAGGTACTCTCGCTTTAAGAGTAAACACTGAAGTCTCAGTTTCCAAAAAACTTATCTCAAAATTTCTCATTATCTTTCAAGAGATATTTACTAAGCTAGCAGAGTTCCTGGATCATATTTGTTGGATTTCACCCTGACAACACCCTTAATTATAAACATTTAAAATAACAATTTCAACTGTTTTTTACTTTTTATAATAAAATAACTTCAGATTTACAAACTATTGCAAAAATAAAAATAGTACACTTTAGCCAGGTTTGCCTATTGTTAATATCTTACTGTTTTATCGTTTTTTTTTATTTTTGAAGTATAATTAACATAAAATGTCATATTAGTTTCAGTAGCATAACATACTGATTCGACAATTCTATGCATTACTCAGTGCTCACCATGATGAATGTAGTCACCATCTGTCACCATACAACATTATTGCAATATTATTCACTATCTTCCCTATACTGTACTTTTCATCTTCATGACTTATTTATAACTGGAAGTTCATACTTCTTAATCCCCTTTATCTATTTCACCCATCGCCCCATTCACCTCCCCTCTGGCAACCACCTGTTTGTTCTCTGTATTTAAGAGTCTTGGGGTTTTTTTGTTCGCTTTTGTTTGTTTAAA